ATTGTTATTATTGACAAGGGCTATCCACCTGTAACTATATGTTAATGACAAAAAACATCATTGCCGCTGTGCCTTTTCATCAAAAAATTGTAGAAGAGAACTTTTTCGATATCAAAAATTTTCGTAATTTGAAGCGAAGATCTTAATTTTTCTTTTTGAATGCTTAAGTATTCCAATATGCTCCAATATACATGTTTAATTACATGGAACAAATTCAAAATAATGCTTAATAACAAAGTTGAAATTCGATCTTCAACTGTTAATATCTTCTAAAAATTTTCGAAAAAGTGTGTGAAATGATACAAAGCACCGAACGTGAAAGGCAACATTACACTTTCGGCACTTTGTCAAAACTGTTTTGTGACATATACGGCATCTTGTCTGTCGATCTTGCTCTTCCACTAAGTGATCTAGTCTGTCATACCTGGACTCCACATTTTCTATTACTGAAGGTCTAAGCCTTTGGCACAAATTTAGTTCTCTATTCTCCTTGTTGGTCTCAATCAGAGTTAGAGCCACATTTCGCCAAAAAGCCAAATGATCCAGCTTGCCTTGTTTGCGATGAAGTTGCCATGCATTTTGTTCTGCGGCGTCAATCAAATGAGCTATTATGGGAAAGTACCATTTTTTACCCCTAATGCTTATTCGGTATAAGCTAATATTTTGATCACTTCGATCAACGCCCCCCATATAAGTACTAGATTTTTTTTTACTTTGTGACTTAGTTTTACCGATATTCTCTTTCTTTCTTTATGGGAATAGCTAGAAACTTGATGTAAAGAAAATATGCCATAATAGTTAGAAGCCATGTAAACCATGTTGTTGTCAGACCATTTAACAATGACGATAGAATTGTCGTCAGTTACTCTGAAATCGTAGCCCCCTCGAGGGTTTTTTAAATCTGCATCGGAGACCATGTGACAATTTCTCATACGATTCTTTCTGATCGTACTGTAGCACTTCACCCCTTTTTCTGTGAGAGCATTGATCAGAGGTAATGTGGTCAAGAAATTATCGCACTGTATGACTGTTTAAATTTTTATTGTTAAATGTCAATCTACTCTCAAACAACAGAGGGGCCCGAACCTAGAGCTTTATAGCAGTGCTTGATTTCAGATTTTGCACCCTGGTATGGTTCATACCACACAATATAACCGCTAGCAGTAGCGCCCACCTATAGCTTGCATCCATATCTCCACGGCTTGCCCCTTATAAATTGTTTGCAACCGTGTCTTCCAAAATACTAAAAATATTGATTTGCATATGTGACGAACATATGAATTATTTCTTTGTCCAAATAATTTCCAAACAACTGACTTGGAGATAGATTGTTAGGAGGCATGGCGACGTTTGGTCAGTCAATATCCATATTGTATTTTTTTATATCCCGTTTCTCCCAATTATCTTCCATTTTCTGAATAATGTCAGGTTCGGTTTCATCTAAAATCTATGGTTTGTATTAAATTGGAATTAAACTGTTTTAAAAAGCAAACTTTGCAAACAGTGTCATACCTCAATAACAGCAAACTTTTCAATTGTTTGCCTGTCAGACTAATACTGACGGAAGTAGGAGTTATTTAGTTCAATTTAGTTTATGTAAACTTATGTATGAATTATTACATCTGTTTAGATACAACAGTGTAACTATTTCCCATTTATACATATTTAATATTTCAGGCCACTGTAGTCGCGCTGCGTTAATTACCTTCATTTTCATGGGTCTGTGGCCCATACCGATATGGTTCCAACCTTCACTGCTGGCTTGGACCGTTGCCATTTGCATAAGTCGCCTTCTGATGAAGCGGCACAACCTCTTAGACGTGATTGGAGGGATTTTACTAGGCATAGTTGAAGGTGCTATATTAATGGCAATATGGATTCCTGACGAGCAAGCTCGTTGGTTCGTGGGTTCAATTACCCATGCGAAGGAAGACGGGACGGAGTTAGATTCTTAGATTAGTACTTATTTGTTTTTGTAATATATGGTTTTAGTCGCATCGCGACCATTATTTGAAGTAAATGCATCTCACCGCCGAACTACGAAGTTTGTTGTTTTTTTGAATAACTGATTCATGTTCAGTTAGCCTTTGAGTTAAAGGGGCAAGTTATGGTGGTAGGTTCGTACACCATATTTTGTGAGTCTTTAGTCGAGCAGAGGAGACACTAGGCACATGAGCGAGGTTATTCCTTCCTACAGGAGCAGCCGAGTTGAACTGAACACAGTTCAGCTATACTGATGGAAAAGGTTAGCACACCATCTACAAGTTTGAAAGAAAAAATATTATGAACCCAACATTCTTTTGTCAAAACTCAAATCATTGTTGTTTAAATTAATATGAGAATGTTTCCAAAATCAAAGATCAAAATTGACCATATTTTCTTCTGGAGTGTTTCCACTATTGTTTTAGCCTGGATTGCGGCAGAACCAAGCAAACTAAATACATTTGTCTCACATAGAGTATCGCAAATTCAAAATTTTTCATTTAATGAATCTGAATTGCGACACGTTCCAGCCAAGTCTAATCCTGCAGATATAATATCGCTTCTACGGAAGAACAGTGACGCAAGTGCGAATTGATGATTTTTCAGAAATCACAAATTAAGAAAGCTAGAATAATGAAACTTACACTGAGACTTTAAGAAACAATTTGGATATAATCGCTGGGGACTTCCAGATAGAAAATGTATTCTAGTTTTAGATGCTGCTATGTATTTTATAATTTTTAAAATATATGAAGATATGTAGGATTTAAAAGGCCAAAAAGTTCCATTTGCGTCATTGTTCCATTGGGAAAGGCGGCAGTATTAATAGTTGTGACAAGATTAATTATTGAAATTGTTAGATGAATACGTTATTTTAGTCACAGTCAACTTTATCAAATCACAACAGAAAAATTAAGTTGAATAAGAAATATTCATTAATAACATTACAAAAGCAGAAATTCAAAACAAGGCTCTAAAAACAGTTTATAGTATTTCGGAATCGTGTTAGTTGTTAAAAAAGTTTGTAAATCTTTTTTCTTATTTTTACTTTGTGATATTTTGGAAATGTAAGCGGGTTTTCTGATGATGCTATTTAAACTTTTCACTCCAGAAGAACGTCTAGTTCCAATGGTTCGACTCTTAACCCAGGTAGCACAACTGACCAATTAGACGTCTGCGAGACGTCCATATTAAGTAATTTTTGGTGAGTGCGTCAATTGACTTAGACTGTCTGAAAGACGTCAATACTTAGATATAAGAATATAGAATACTCAGATATATATGGACGTCCAATGGACCGCCGAGGGTGGTCATTTTTTAGTCTCTAAAATAAGCTTTATTTCAGACATCCTTATGTTCACTAAATGACGTCTCGTCTTATTTGGAGAAAATTTTTTATCTAACTTTAAATGTCTATAATAATTTTAAGATTTTAGTAACTTATTTTTTAATTGCCTGTCTGTCAGCATTGCATACGGATGAATCCTGCTCCCAACACTCTATAGTCAGGACACAAAATTAATTTATTTCTTATTTCCAAAAGCCAAAGCAAAAGGAATACACCAGAAAGACCAACATACTTTATTTAATAATATGAAATATAATCTTTAAAGATTAGATAGATTAGATTAGATAAATTACAATCAATCTTTATGATTAGACAAATTAACAATAATTCTCGTCTGTCCCTCTGTCTAAAGTAAAATTAATTGTGTGATTGTCTATTTGTCTATTATGTCATTTACTTCTTGTCAATTTGTTCGCGCCAAGTTTATTGGATTTTAGTTAGGTTAAAAACGCAGAACCCCGGCACGTGGCCGGCACTTTGGCGTGACTGGAATCAATACTCGTCTTTATCTATGACTGGAATTCTGAACTTGTACTTAGTACTTGTTTTGTTTCATGTGATTTGTTAATGGGCTGTTAGTTCATTAATATACAAAACTTTTCACACAAGGGTAAGTACCACTTATTTATACATTGTATTTATAGTTGTACCTAGCTTTTCTATTGTGGTCTGGGATAAATAGTGGAACGCTTATAGGTAACAGTGTGTGGTCTATTCAAAACCATGTGCCGAGACAATATATGTATGTAGGTAGGACGAGAGGCTATACTGCCCGAACCGTACCGACGTGGCCATTATTTTGCTTCTGTCATCTGCTTATGTTTACAATAAGCTGATTTTAGAGGTTTGCGGTTATGTATACGGAATGTGTATTTTCAAGTATTTACCAGTAATCTTACAAAG